GACACACACGCACGCACACCTGAAACGTGGCCGCTTCTAAATTAGCAACAGCGATATACAGCAGATTATTCTGAACCATGTAAATAATTCCAGGTACAGATATTTTCAGGCAGTCGAGCGGCTGCTTGATGATGTTGGTGTGAAGGTGCCTCACCCAGCCCGAATACGAACCCTCCTGTATGAGGATTATCAACAGACAGCTGACGAATTTTAAGGTTTCGGCAGCAACGACGGCAGTTGTCATTATGTATTTGTCGCCGTGTCGCATTCTTGAGTATCTAAAGATAGAGGTTGGTTATGATGATGTCATTTAAAAATAGAAGTTGCTGATGATGAAGTCGTTATCTATAAATAGAAATTGTTGTCGATGGTGTCATCATCTAACTAAAGGTAGAAGTTGGACAACATGATGGTATAATGATTGTTAAAGTGTTTGTTGATACCTTTGAGAAATACTAAAGATGAAAGAGAGAATTTTAGAATAAAGAGATGATGAAGAAGTCTATTATTATTATTATTTAAAATTACTTGATATTCATTATAGCTATGTTATTATTTATACTAAATTATTCATTTATACTAAATTAATAATTATAATAAAATAAAAAATTATTTATTTATACTAAACTAATAATTATAATAAAATTTCCAACCAACTTTCACCTCATAGCTATGATGAGAGCAACATTCTGAAGTGTTAGGCATAACAGGCTAGAGTATTTGGTCAGTTTTGATGTGTGGGTTACTATTGAAAATAAATTTTTGTGGGAAAATCTATTATAATTTGTTATAATAATAATGTGATATAATTATCTGTTGTATCTCGATATATTATATAATATAAAATAATTATATATTTGTTTGAAGATATGGAATAAAAATAATTATTTTTAAAGAGAATTTAGAGTTGACTGTGTAGGGGCAGAAAGGGACTGTTCACTGAGGATGTCGTGCTAGTTTAATTAAAATTAAAAGAAGAGATGGAGGTCAAAAAATGTTGACACTTTGAGAGGAAAAAGGGGGGTACTTTTTGGACATCACCAAACCAATCTTTTCTATTCATTCACAAATTTATTTTGACTGCTAACAAACTATGAAATGAAAGGATCTTTTATACTTTTTAATTCAACAATACAAAAACTATTTTTATTTACAAAGTATTACAATTTTAAATATTAGCTGGTAAATTTTTTTTTAAATTTTAAATTAAAAAAATACTTTAAAATAATATAAATGATAGCACCGCAACAAGAAAACACCCGATACAAAAATTTTTATAAATTAAAATTAAATAACACAATATTAAGATAAATTAATTAAAACGAAAAAATTGATTAAAAAATGAATCAAAGATAAAAAACCACCAGGCATCGTAAGGATGTTTTCATTTTTGGTCAGTGTTGCAGGTCTGTAGCTACTGAATGGTGCTAAAACTGGTTTTTCTGCTGACATCAGTTTAATTTATATGACTTTTTAATATTTCCAATTTTTTATAATTAAAATGTCATCTTTTTTCTTCAATTAATGTCAATTATTATGAAATAATTCCATATATTTTTTGTTGTATGTGTATATTGTTAAATTTTAAATTTAACGTTTAAATTGAAGCGTTCATTCATTCTTACAGCCGTATGTTTGTTAATTAAATGCATAATCAATACTATTTTCGTTATAATAACATGCATTCATTTACATTCAAAATACTAGAACAAATAATTTCAAACGTTCCATATATATATTCTACATTATACATGTGCATTCTATACATATCAGACATTCTAATCGATAAGATTTGTGTTTAACAATGTTCATCAATAAACATAAACGATTTATTTTAAACGAACCAGGTTAAACAAAACAACAAACAAACGAACGAGCAAACAAACAAACGAACGAGCAAACGAACAAACAAAAGTTTTAAGTAATAATTTTTGTAAAAGAAACAATACTTACACAGAGTTATATTGATTTTATGTTCCTTGACAACAGAACATACATACGCGTATATATAAACATAATTTTATACAAATATATCCAGATATAACACTTATATACATTTTGTTATATTATCATGAAAATTAAGTGATATACTATAAAAATATTTACTCTGCGATTAATTCATACATTTGATACATGCATTAAGCAGCTGGTATTGTTTGCTAATAGCAGTAACCACACCTATCCTATTGTTGTAAAATGTAACGCTCGTTACTACAGACACCAATGTTATAACTTCAATTATCTCTATGACCAAAACCGTATTGTAGCCTCCAACGATCGTCGAGTGTTCGTTATTACGTAGGTTCAAGATTTCCGATAGAAGAACACAACTGCTTTAGACGCAAACTTGGTTCAACGTTTATTTGAATGCCAACAGTAGCAGAAACACCAAACTAATCCAAGTAACTGCATAAATCACATTTACGAATTCGCTCCAAACCTCGCTTTTGACTTCGCTACTCCTGCCCCTTATCTAGTTTCTACAGTAGATTTTGACAATCCTCTATGGTATGAAAAGCTGGCTTACAATTAATGACAAATAGCGAACGTAACAAATATAACAAACTCATGTCCTGTGTATTATGTTGTGTAATATAAAGAGAGAGAGAGAGAGAGAGAAAGAGAGAGAGAAAGAAATAGAGAGAGAGAGCATGTGTTTTTGATCAACTTTATTTTATTTCAATGAAAAAAAATTGTTTTTTTTATTCACCTTAAACTATTAGCACCGAACGTCTTGTTATGGAGCTCTGCTTTCTTTATTTTCAATAACAATATCTCAATAAACATATGTACATTTTACAAGTAAACAAAATGAACACACATGTGTGATTAAATATCTCTCTTAGACCATAATGATTACAAAAATCGATTTTATTTATTATTCTTTATTTGAAAAATACGAATAAATGTGTGTGTGTGTGTGTGTTTGTTTGGGTGTGTATGAGTGTATGTGTGTGCGTATGTGCGTGCGATAATAATAGCATTCTAAGCCAAGGAGTCAACCACATTTAAACTACATATATAAATATATAACATTAAGGTGGTATTTATGGTAAAAGATAAATAGTAATTAATTAAACCTTTAAATGGGTCCATTAAAAACTTTCTTTCCTTCATAGTCTGCGAGCTGACGATAGTAAATATCTTGAAATTCTTTATTCAAAATTTAGAACTTTATAGGCTTCACAAGTTCTGGATGACTGATGATTTGATTGACGCAGCTGTTATATATAACTCAATGTTATTTCATTGCATTAAAATTAAAATTCCGTAAATGTCTACCAATGAGTAAATTTTTGTCTATATTAATATGTTACGTCTTCAAACATATAAAACTTATTAATTTTTTTATTACGAAAAACATGAAAAGGTTCATGATATCTATTAATATGAGCAAAGCCTGTACCATCAATAAAAAATTATAAGTTAGCACTGCAGTATTTAGTAAAAACTAAAAGTAGAAAAGCTAAAAGCAACTTTTGCTCTTTAAAACTTTGAATGTTGTTTTGGTTAATTGCGTTTTCTGCCTAATCGAACTAAAAGTCTCTTTAAGGATGGCAGGATTGAGCTGGGGGAAGTATTTGACCAGGTTACTTTTTTACTAACTTATGCCTCATTCAACTTAAAATGTCATTTTTGGCCATTTAGAAATTTTGTGCTTTTCTCCAGCTCCACTGATACATTTTTGATTGATTTTTCCCTGTTCAACTTTTTTTTTCTCACTAACTAACGCTAAGACTGCCTCGTCAACTCTCACCTAACGTTCTAACCTAATCAATTGATCAATCAGTTGACTAAAATTTGTGCAGTGCTGTTTTTTTCATTGTATAATATAACAATGGTGCACTTTGATGAATACAATGAATAAAATAACTATTAATATTATAAAAATATAAAAATAAACAAACCATGATTTGCCACTCCAAATCAAATACAAGAGTTAAACTTAATTAATCACATTAAACAGTTTAACAGTTTAGCTTAAACTACTTCTAACTAACAGACTACTATATTGCTACTAGTTTATTATTATTATTATTGTTGTTGTTGTTATTATTATTATGGGCACATTTATCTTTCATTTTTATTTTGTGTTTTAAACTTGAAATAAAATTTTAATTTTAAATAAAATTTTTATAAATAAACAAATAAAATATTAATTACTTATTTTTTCATTTTGTGTACGAAACATCATGAAAAACAGTTCCGTTAGTAAAGACTCCATATTTACTATATTTTTTGCTCTAATTTATCTATTTTTCTATGAATAATTTTTTTTATGACATTTTTAAGATTAAGATATAATTATGAATTAATAAATAAATAACTATATTGACATGTTATTATTGTAACATATGTTAGATTAAATTATATTAATTATTATTAATTCTTGTGAAATTAAATTAATTCATCTTTATAGCATTTCTGGGGGCCAGGCTAGTTACTAATATAATTATTTTAACTTTATTAAAATAATAATTATAATTATTTTATATAAATATATTATTATATATTTATATAAAAAATATATAATATTATAAAATATATTATTATACATTTATATATTACTTCCTACCTCGGGGAAGATTGATTGATAGATTGATTGAAATATATTATTATATCCCAATGTTTATTAAGGATATTTATGATAATACTACCCGCAGCTACTTCTACTACTACTACTACTACTACTACTACTACTACTACTACTACTACTATTACTACTACTACTGCTGCTGCTGCTATTACTACTACTCTTACCAACGATGATGATAATAATTATGTAATAAAAAAATATTTATAATTTTAAATCAATTATTCATAATAATAAGGTTAAGCATAATTTAATTATTTCACAAAATAGTGGCCAATTGGGGACTGCCCATAGCTGCTATAATGGACTCCCAACTGACCCCTGAGAAGATCAGTGGAAAGATGACCCCAGGTCAACTTTTTCAATATTTTTATTTTTTAAAATTATTGTAATTATTATATTTTATTTTTTTATAGTAAGAAAATTGTGATATTTGTGAAATTTATGTGTGCTTGTTTGTATGTTTTTAACGTGTGTATATATTTATTTTCTAATTTTTTCCATAAATTTTTTTCCAGCCCTTTGTGTCTATTCAGTATTGTTCATGAGGTTTGCGTGGAAAGTTCAGCCTAGAAACATGTTACTGTTTGCATGTCATTTCACTAACGAAGTAACACAACTTTTCCAGTTGGGGAGATATGCTGATTTTTAGTAAGTAAGACGCCAGAGGTTAAAATTATGGCAATTTGTTTTGATTTGTTTTGTGTGTTTCTTTCATTGTGAAATTGTTGGGAAATGTGTTTGTGTGTTTGTTTGTTTGTGTGCGAGCTTGTTTGTGTCTGTGTGTGTGTGCAAGTTTGTTTGTGTGAATGTGTACAGGCAGTTAGAGTTAATCAACCTGGTATGAATTACTTAAAATCACTTTTAAATAATAAAACTATATCCTAAATATGTATAAAAATACTATTTAGACTCATAATTTCTATTCATTTAGATCTTAGATCGCAATTACACACGAAGACACACACACTCACACACACATACACACACACATATACACGCACACACACACATCCACTTTTTACTCAATTTCACCAAACAGCTACCGACAAACGCCTGAACAGCAGGAGGAAACCCGAAAGTTCTACAAAGAAAAGGCTCTTGAAAAGCAAAGACAATCAGAGGAGAAAGCCAAAAAAGCAAAAGAAGCCAAGGAAAAAAGTGCATAGATGGCGCTTTTTGACAAATACACACACACCACACGCACACTCACACGCACACTCACACACACAGATATATATATATATATATATATATATATATATATATATATATATATATATATATATATATATATTCACAATATTCTATAAACTCTACCGAATGTTTGGCGTTAATATGTTTGTAGTTCGTTTTTTCGATTTTTCTCACTAAAGTTTTTTGGTGAACGTTTAGTTTATTAAAATTCAAAATAAACTTATTTTTCGAATTCATGCTGCAAATAAGGCCATATTTCGATTCCGAATGAATCATCGTTAGTGCTCCTTGTTAGTCAGTTTTTTATGAAGTTTTAGTTTTGATGATTGCATATAAGCATTTATAAATTCTTTCCGGCATAAGTTTAGTTCAATCTTGACACTGCAATCAACATCACAGTGATCCCATTGATTCAACAATTCAGTTAGTTGATTCGACAAGTCTTGAACTACCTTCTTTTTAACTTCTAATTCTCGAGAGAGATGGAGCATTCGCTGCTCGCGATCTTGTTCGATTGTTAGATTACGTCGGTTGGTCGCAGAACTTCGAGTAAATGTTGGTAATAGACCATAATTTTTACAATATTCTATAAATTCTACCGAATGAATAGCAAGGAGCACTGACGATGATTCATTCGGAATCGAAATATGGCCTTATTTGCAGCATGAATTCGAAAAATAAGTTTATTTTGAATTTTAATAAACTAAACGTTCACCAAAAAACTTTAGTGAGAAAAATCGAAAAAACGAACTACAAACATATTAACGCCAAACATTCGGTAGAATTTATAGAATATTGTAAAAATTATGGTCTATATATATATATATATATATATATATATATAGGTTTTGTTAAAGTTGTTAATTTTATTTATTCGGTATGTTAATATTTACCTATGCTCAATATTTATCTTTATGATTATTACTTCTACTACTACTACTATTATTACTACTACTACTGCTGTTGCTGCTACTACTACCACTATTACCCTTCTACTACTACCATTCTACTACTACTACTACTACTACTACTACTACTACTACTACTACTACTACTGCTACTACTACTACTACTACCACTACTACTACTACCTACTACTACTAACACTACTACTACTACTACTACTACTACTACTACTACTACTACTACTACTACTACTACTACTATTACTACTACTACTAATAATAATAGTAATGATAATGATTATTATGATGCTGTCATTGTTATTATTATTATTATTATTATTATAGATCTTATTCTTAGTAATTACTAGAGCACGGAATGAAGGTAGTGGAGAGGGTGCTTGAGAGGAGGTTGAGAAGTATGGTGACAGTTAATGAAATGCAGTGTGGGTTTATGCCTGGTAGGGGAACGGTGGATGCGTTGTTCATGGCGAGAATGTTGCAGGAGAATTATAGAAAGAAGAAACGAAGATTGTACATGTGTTTTGTGGATCTAGAAAAGGCTTTTGATCGAGTACCGAGGAAGGTCATTGAATGGGCGTTGAGGAAGAAAGGAGTGAATGAGAGACTTGTTAAAGCTGTGATGCAGCTGTATGAAGGGGCAAAGACAAAGGTGAGGGTTGGAAGGGGGATGTCGGACGCTTTTAGTGTTAAGGTAGGAGTGCATCAAGGATCAGTGTTATCACTGTTTCTGTTTGCAATTGTGATGGATGTTGTGTGTGGAAACATAATGGAGGGGTTGTTATTTGAGATTTTGTATGCAGATGATTTAGTCTTGATGGCTGATAGCATGGAAGAATTGCAGTTAAAATTTGACAGATGGAAAAGTGTTATTGAAAAGAAAGGGTTAAAAGTTAATATTGGTAAGACGAAGGTAATGGTGAGTGGGGAAGGTGGGGAACGAGTGATAAGTAAAATAGACCCCTGTGGGGTATGTGATGGGAGAGTGAAGGCTAACTCGGTATTGTGTATAGGATGTCAGAAATGGGTGCATAAGAGATGTAGTGGTGTGAGGGGGGCACTGAAAAAGGTGGAAGGCACGTTCAAATGTAAGAAATGTGTTCATGGTGTGATTAATAGGACGGACGCAAGGACGGGGTTGAGTGGTGGTATTGAAAGAGTGGAAAGCTTTGTTTACTTAGGGGATAAGCTGAATGCGGATGGAGGATGTTTGAGCGCAGTTACGGCTAGAGTTCGTGTGGGATGGATGAAATTTAGGGAACTGGGTGGGGTATTGTGTGGAAAGAAATGGTCAGTGAAGATGAAAGGGAGGGTATATAAAGCATGTGTGAGAGCAGCGATGATACATGGTGGTGAAACTTGGGTGTTGAGGAGAGAGGAGGAAAGTGTACTGCAGAGGGCTGAAAGAGCTATGGTGAGGATGATGTGTGGGGTTAAAGTGAAGGATAGGAGGAGTAGTACAGAGCTGATGTCAATGATGGGACTGAATGAGGACATTGTGACATTGATAAGGAGATCGAGATTGCGGTGGTATGGACATGTGTTGAGAAGGGATGAAAGGGTCGGGATTAGGCGAGCGTTGGAGTTCGAGGTTGAAGGAGTGGTAGGAAGGGGTCGTCCGCGATTGGGATGGAGAGAGCAGGTGGAGAAGGACAGGGTGAAAGCGGGGTTGCGTGATACTGAGGCGAGTGACAGATGTGGATGGAGTCGAGGGGTATTTCGGTTTCATCATAGGTAGCCAAACGGCAACCCCCGATCTCGGGGAAAATGCCGTCTAAACGTGTGTTGTTGTTGTTGTTGTTATTCTTAGTAATTGACACGTCATTTTAGAAATAATTTTTGACAATTTTTTTTTCTGACAACACGAATACGCCATGTCATGATTGTTATAATTGATAATAATTATAAATAATAATAATAATAATAATAATAATTGCTATTATTGATTGAGATTATTATTATTATTATTATTATTCCTATTGTCCTGTAGTTGCCTGGAACATGCAATGTGTGTGTGTGTGTGTGCGTGTGTGTGTGCGTGTGTGTGTGCGTGTGTGGCATACTAAACATTGTTGTCACTAATTCTTTCTACTGTCCTTACCGATAAAAATTTTGTCCCTTGAAACAACTCTACTGCTAACATTTTTGTTGCTAACAGCAATCGACTTGTTGTTTTTGTTGTTGGCGTTGGAAATGTTATTATTATTGATATTATTTTCATTTTTATTTTTTTTATTATGATTATTATTTTTAATTTTAACATTGGCCTGTTGGGGTAAAGTTATTTGCTCTTTCATAGTATTGAACCTTACTTTATTATTATTTTTTCTATTATTATTATTATTATTATTATAATTATTATTATTATTATTATTAATTTCCGATGATTTTAAATTTTTCATACAAAACTCCTCAACGCTTCTATCTCTACTTCCCAGGAAGTTAATCATCTCTTTGTCCTCATCATCACCACCACCATCATCATCATCGTTACAATAATTATTATGATCATAATTATAATTATAATTATTATTGTTATAATTATTTTCATTAATATCACCGTCATCATTGTTGACGTCATCATCCTTTTTGTTCTTATCATTTATCATTAAATTATTATTATTATTGTTATTATTATTATTATTATTATTATTATTATTATTATTATTATGGTAGGTGATGGCGGTGTGGGCGGCCGATGATCTCCGCCTAAATTCCGGATTCTGATGGAATCTTCCGTCCAACTTTCTCCTCATCAGCTGGACTACCTGAGGTCACGTGATTGTTTTTGTTGTTATTATTATTATTATTGTTGTTGTTGTTTTTGTTGTCATTCTAAAACGAATGAATAAATGAATAATTGGATTAATTAATGAATAAATAACATAAGATGGATGGATGAACGATTAGATGAATGAATGTAGGAACGAGAGAATGAAATTTAAAGAAAGAATGAATGAATGAGAAAATTTATAAATGAATGAATGAATGAATGGAAAAAAACCATTCATCAAAGAAAACTCAAAGATCGCCTAAATTTATTATATATTAAACACGTTCTTTTGTATAAGAAATAAAAATATTTCGAACTCACTTCGCCATTAAAAAAGCAGAAGAGTAACGATAGGAAGAAGCCCTAATGTGATGATGACAATGATGATGACGACGACGATGATGATGACGATGATGACGATGATGATGATGATGATGACGACGACGATGATGATGACGATGATGATGACGATGATGATGATGATGGTGATGGTGATGATGATGATGATGATGA